TGAGCTTGCTCAAGCTCGGCTCTTTTACAACCCTAAATAATGGAAGCCAAGATTTAAACCATTATAATATGAGTGAGATAGCAAAATATAACAAAACGGCAATAAGAGTGAAATTATAAAGCCTTTTACAAATTAGATAGCTCGAAAAGCAGCGCAAACATGCATTGTAATCGAGCTGTTGAGTCGAGTATGATATGGATTGGACTTTGCTTGGTGAAATCATATGTTTTTATTGTTCAGTCCGGAGCTTGAGCCGAGCAATCAAATATGTGCTCATACTTAGCTTGTTTAAATTTGTATTGTTTATATTAATTAAACAAGAGAAAATTCAAATGAGTACATAAATTTTTATATAGCATTAAAATTATATTTGAACTTAATATTTTTATATAAAGCTAGTAATAAACTAAAAATTCAAATGATTTCTTGATTTCTATATAAATTTACTAACAAAAAATTTTACAAATTTAAATAAATAAACAATTGAATATATTTCAAATTTACACCTAATTAATTAAAATCAAGTAAATTATATAATTTATTGAGCTATAAAATTTTTTTCTTACATTCAAATAATATAACTAAGTACTATTATACTGACTAACTAGCTCATTAAATAAAAAATATAAAATTGTATTAAATTTACAACTTATGTGCAAATTGATTTTAAACTATATTATACTATAATTAAATAAATTCTTGTTAAATAAATTTTATTTAAATAATATATCATAACTATAAAATATTAAACAATAAGGAAGTTTGTTTGTCATTTTGTTTAGTTCATTTAAACCTCCAGTTTTAAGAAATTGTTCAAATTTGCGTATTTATTAATTTGAACAAACATGATCAAGCATTAATCTAACTAAGTTTGAGTTGTTCATAAAGTGCATTGTATCATTTACATGCCTACAAATACATTGTCATTTTTACAGCCAAAATGACAACGACCAAGTAGAGTTTACATATAATCTATCCATAGAGCCAACAAATATGTTAGAGGCCAAAAACAATCAACACGATAAAAAATGGGTAATAGAGAAGTTGTGTATTATTTGAAATAGGATGCACAAATACATTTAGGCAATTTTATGTCGAGTTTTCATTTTTGCTCTTTTGATAGATAGTAGAATAAATACTTGGAATTAAAAGTTCAATATGATATCATTATGATAGATTCTATAGTGTATTTTGACTCAAATATAGTATGATCTAATTATAGCAGTAAGAAAAAAATTTCAAACATATGAACGTATTTTATATGAGTTAAAATATGTAGAAACTTAGATGCAACATGAAAAAATTATCCCACGGAATGCATTTTCTTAAAACATATAGAGATTGAAGATAGTCAAAGATCTGTTGAGCTTAAATTCCATTACATCATTTGCAGAGGATGAATATTTGATTAATATTGATACCTCTCAAACCTAAGGCATCTTTAGTTTCAACCCACTAAAAATAAATTTTCAAGTAAATATAGCATATTTAATTACATGGTTCTTGAACCTCACCAAATTTCTCTAGTTAACTATAAGCACGCGAGAAGAAAATAGTGAATATAAAACCATATAAGAGTAATTAGAGTTTCTCAACTAATAGCAACAGTTTGAGGAGTTCAGAATAGGAATCTGTGTAACTTATTGAATTTAAGATAAGCCAATGGAGTCTAATGCGGAAGCAAATTTCCAAGGACGGTTAGTATTTAACTCTTTCACTCTAATTAGATTAAGACAAAATAGAATTACTAAAGTGCTTCTTAAGTGTTTTATCATAAAAGTAGGGGTCATAAGAAAATACAAGTTTTATATTGCTACATTTTAAGGGAGATCCAATTTCACATTCTGCTACAGACATTACAAATAGTTTTTCAAGAAAAGGTAGTTCACTTTGATGGATATGGATCCAATATTATTTAAAATCTAAGAGTCAAGGCAAGTACTAAAGTTAAAAAAGCCTTTAAATAAAATTAGCCTTGTAAAACATATGTAATGAATCAATAGAAAAGAGGCCAAGGTTCCTTTATCTAGTTGTAATGTAGTATTTTGTCATAATATTATATAACTTTTGTTAATGAACACATTATTACATAGAAAATTTTTTATTATTTCTGAATTTCTTTTTTCTTTTTGAGCCCTTTAGCAAAGGGACATGCTACAACCAATAACCAAATAACTGACATAGTAAGTTAAAATCTTCTAGCAAAGAAGAGCAGCTTTTGTTATGAGTCACTTATCTAATTTTGGAGTTTTTCTAAAATTTAGTGTAATTAATACTTTTTAGCTTAATAGAAGAAAAAACTAGGTTAAGAAGATCCCATTAAAGGTACTTAGTTTCAAAGACCAAAATTAAACAAAGCGATCCTTTAGTACATGTTTCTTAAAACTTCGAAAATCAAATAGCCAATATATCAAAGTTGACACTTTATCCAATGACGTTCTTGAATTTGGTAAGGATAGAGTGAAGAAACTTCATAGGGTTGATGTATACTTATAGAAAAAAACTAATAAGTCATCAACATAAATTCATTGAAAGATGTTAAAGCATTATTTTTTATGTCATTGAAGTTTAGTCGATTTGAATAACCCTACACAAGCATAGCAATTAAAATCTCCCATAAAACTCCAAAGTTTAAAAACCTTATGGGAAATATCAATAATTAAATTCCATAAATGCTTCCTTTTCATAGAGCATTCTAAGCATAAGCAAATATGTCCAAAAATACAATAATGGAAGATTAAGTTAATAGGCCATGTATGTATTGAGTATGTAGCTAATCAAATAAAAAAAAAAAAAAACTTTAGATACACTACATTTAATCCTGATATGGTCTTGGGAGGGATATCTAAAATTGTCACCTTTATCTTCAACAGTGAAATGCTTCAAATTCCTTATAAGAGAGTTGCAGTCTTAGGAGATGAATAATCATAGTCTTCAGCTCATAGAGAAGGTCAATCTTATGATCTTTAATTGAATGTCTATAGTTAGTGAATTTAATATAAAAATCTCTCATCAAAAATGTAGAAAAAAGTATTTTTACTCCAGAAGATGAGGGGCCAAACCGGCCTGAATTTCCCCTCTTTCTCTCAACTTCATAAAGCATCAATATTCACCGGCAATACGGCACTCCTCCAGCTCCGGCCACCGAACGGAAAGAATGACTGCCGTATTCTTCCACTTCCACCTCCTCCTCCGCCGCCGGCGCCGCCATCACTACTGCCTTGTCCACGAATCATATCCAGATTCCGGCGAAGAGTTTCCTGAACCGAAACACAGAGCTGGGGATCACAGGACGAATCCAAAGAGAACGACCTTCTCAACGGCAGAACCGCAAAAACCTCATCTTTCTCTCTTCTAACCTCAATGCACTCATCTCCCATACTCGCCACCTGCCCTAACCTCCTCCTCTGATTCCTTATCTCCTCCTCGCTCACCTCAATAATCACGCTTTGATTAGGAATGATGCGGTGATCCTCCACCGTACGAGGAGGAAACGGATTCGTGATGCGAGATCGGCATAGAGGGCAGCTGGTTTTAGTCTGGAGCCACGCGTCGATGCAGTCGATGTGGAAGGCGTGACTGCACTGTGGTAGGAGGCGGAGGTGCTCGCCGGGGCGGAAATCTGATAAGCACACTGCGCATTCCGTGGCGGCATAGGATCGATTGGAAGAGTAGCAGAAGGTGGGAATGGAGCGGATGGCTGCTGAGTCGAGACCGGTGGGCTCGGCGGTGTTGGAACCCGGTGAGGTACGGATGAGGAAGTTGGGGGAACGCCACTTGAGGCAGCATTTGAAGACGAAAACAGAGTAGCTGAAGAAAAATGTGGCAGTCCAGAGAATTCCTGCTATGGCGACTACAGCGATTGACAAGCTCATTTTCGTAGAAGGGTGGTGCAAGTTAACGCCGGCGGCGAGGTGATCTATAGCTGGAGGAGGGAAAAAGGAGAGATTTTTTGTGATCGATGCAAGATGATTGATTACAGGGGAGGTCCGAACTGAGAAGGGAGCTGAAATGGACGGTGGATGATGGAGATACTGCGATGCGAGGTAATCTATGGCTTGGCTGGGAAGAAGCCCAAACAGGAAGGAGTATTTAAGGGGAGACATTCCGTGTAAATATGATTAACATTTGTGGCGGAATAAATTTACTTCTATTTTAAAATAAATTTAATATAATATGATATTTTAGCGCGCACTACACAGTTCTTGTGTATTTAACATTTGTAGGATTTAAATTTTATATATTTCACTCATTTTCTTAAAGTTGAAATTGTGGTATTGTTTATATGACATGATGCTTTGAGTGGCATTAATGTAAAAACGTAAAATTTATATGTTGGATATGTAAATATATAATATTTTGGTGGCATCTATGTAAATGTTCCAACCAAAAAAAAAAAAACATAATTTTAATTTGGGTAAAATAAATTTTCATTGAAAGTGTGTGGAGCCATTTTCAATTAGGATTTATTTAATAATTAATATTTTTACGTATATTCCTAATTTAAATTATTTATTAAAATTTAAAAAAACATACTAATAATTATTATAACTATATTTATCTTCATAAGGTTTAAATTGTAACATAAAATTTATATTTTCATCAATTTATTATAGAATCATGTGGATTTTAAAGTTATACTGATCAAAACAACCTCATAGATTTGTTTCTGTGTGTTGTGGAATCAACCGCAAGTGAAGGACGCTCAATTTTAAGATTTGCGATGGAAAAACCCAAAAAAAAAAGAAAACAAAAACGTCTAATTGAGGGAAAAAATTTGGGTGCGATAGACGTACCCAGCGCTGCGTGCGATATTAGGGTTATACCGAGGGTACAAAAGAGTTACATCCACGGTATAACCCCTTGTAACCTTACTGTAATTTGTTGTAACATATATGTACCTTAAAATAAGTTTCGCGCTTCTGTTATCATATATTAAGAGGTTACACGTAAGTTACAAGGAGGTTACAGAGAGGTTACAAGTGCTTATACCATGGATGTAACCCCTTTGTACCCTCGATATACCCCAATATCGCATACCCATGTGCCGCCCGCGTCGCTGCGTACGCCTATCACACGCAAATTTTTCCCCTAAATGAGAGGAGCAAAAGATGTAAAATAATTTATTATTACTATTTATTTTTTGGCATAATATATTAAAATACCCAACAACATCCATACAAAAATTTGAAAATTGCTGAATCTGGATTTGTCCAAGAGGCATACCCAAGAGATGAGAGTGCATAGAATATGAGAGAGAGAGAGAGGAGAGAAGTGCATGGTCACTTGCCTAACAAAATTTGGTTTAACCCTTCTTATATGATCAAAGATTTTTGGTACATAGGTGAAAAATCCAAAAGTCCTATTAGATGAAAAAAAATAAATTCTTACTTATAGTATAGGGAATGAAATGAAGAAACATTACATTTCTAACTCTGTTTTAAGAGTAATTGTACATATTATTCCACGAATTAAAATCATGTGGGCCCAGGGTCTTATCATCCTTCGGCTCGATCCATTGAGGTAGAAGATATGAAATGATTCGTGAACTGGTCGACCTGCTAAAGGGGGACCTTCAGCTAGCTGGACTATTGAAGAAAGTCGGCGAGAATAATCTGGTTAGTTGTTATTAGTCGACTGAATGCATTATGTCGGTCGTCCATCTGAGATTCTTGTCGGGGGACTCCCTGCTGCTGCCATAATAATTTAAGCATTTGGACATAGCATGATTCAAGCATATATTGTTGAGTCGGTTCAGAGGGTCTGTGCCTGACGCCAACAGCTCTTCATCAGAATATTCTTATTTTTTCCCGAGTAAATTTATTTTTTAAAAAAAATGTTATGTAAACAAAGAAAAGACTATGTAATGCATTCAACCAATAACCAGAACCCAACATTTATGGCTGTCAATACATATATATATATTTTGAGCTAGCCTTGGAGTTGTAATTTGATATTACCTTGCACTTCTGTTTTTTTCCCAAAAGTGAAAAGATAGTTTGACCTACTCCGTGATAGCTTTGTCTTTCAACTAAAAAGTCATGAGTTTGAAGGCCAAAATAGTGCGAGACTATTTACATTTACGTATTTTTGGTTCCAATCCTTCATGATACTTATTTTAGCCCCAATTTAAAGAATTCTTTCAGCCCCAATTTAATGAGCTTTGAGACTCTCTCAGGAATCAAAACTACCCATTATAAATAGTTGGATGTTATTTTGACACTTTGATTGTTAGAAAAATATAATAACAATAACTTTGTTAGTTTTAGTGTCACATTTTATCTTATAAATCTTAATCTGTGTATTGCCTTAGTATGGAGGAAAATAAAATAAATTTTTCCATTTGATTTGCATTTTGTTAAGCGTGGAGTCAAAGTTTATAATATTAAAAAAAATGCCATATAATTATAAACAGTATATATATATATACATCATTTATACACTGGATTCTTTTGTATTTACATGTTCAAACTCTTGACTTTAGTTTTTATATCTGTACGGAACAAATCTTTCCTATCACATAAAAATATTATTTATTTTTATTTTTAAAAATTGGAATACATCTTCGAATACAGATACATGTAAAAATTTAAAATATATCATAATAATATTTTTATGCGATTTGAAAGAATGAGTGATATGAATATAAAAATTAAATTTTTTGTTTAAAAAGTTTAATGCTAATACATCACCAACAAATTTTCATCATCCAGCACAAATTTTGAGATATGACACGGATCCCGATATGATATTTTGAGCAAGAAAAGCTAAATCTTGATAAAAATTCATCTAGAGATCCGATTTCAGCAAACTTATATTCAAACTAGTCGGCTCAATGAGACACACCTAATGATATAAAAACTAGTATAATCAGAGAAATCAAGCTCAGATCAAGTCATTAAACCACATTTAAAAGATTTTTGGACACATTTGAAAGGTCAAACAGATGTCGACAAACAGATGTCGACACTAGCAAGTCTACACTCGAATCGAGCGTCTCGACAAGATAAATCTAACAAGCCCAAGATCACTCAATTCCGACAAAGTTATGGAGCTCAAATGTCCATTAAACGTTGCATGATCGAAGGAAACTCTCTAGACCGTCCGATCAAAATAGTTGATGTTCCTGCATTAATTGCACCTAGAACTCTATAAATAGACCTCCACCTCTGACATGTGGAGAAACTGAAGTCTAGAGAGAGCCCGAGGCATTGAGAAGAAGTTGCAGTTCAATAAATAGTTGGATGTTATTTTGACACTTTGATTGTTAGAAAAATATAATAACAATAACTTTGTTAGTTTTAGTGTCAAAATCTTATAAATCTTAATCTGTGTATTGCCTTAGTATGGAGGAAAATAAAATAAATTTTTCCATTTGATTTGCATTTTGTTAAGCGTGGAGTCAAAGTTTATAATATTAAAAAAAATGCCATATAATTATAAACAGTATATATATATATACATCATTTATACACTGGATTCTTTTGTATTTACATGTTCAAACTCTTGACTTTAGTTTTTATATCTGTACGGAACAAATCTTTCCTATCACATAAAAATATTATTTATTTTTATTTTTAAAAATTGGAATACATCTTCTAATAAAAAAATTTAAAATACATCATAATAATATTTTTATGCGATTTGAAAGAATGAGTGATATGAATGTAAAAATTAAAGTTTTTGTTTAAAAAGTTTAACGCTGATACGTCACCAACAAATTTTCATCATCCAACATATAACAACTAATTTTTATCATCCGACACGAATCTCGAGACAATATTTTGAATAATAAATATTCAAATCTTGATAAAAAGTCATCTAGAGATCCGATTTCAGCAAACTTATATTCAAACTAACCGGCTCAATGAGACACACCTAATGATATAAAAACTAGTCCAATCCAAGTCAAATCAAGCTCAGATCAAGTCATTAAACCACCTTTGAGAGATTTCTGGACACATTTGGAAGATCAAACAGATGTTGACACTAGCAAGTCTAGACTCGAATCGAGCGTCTCGACAAGATAAATCCAACAAGCCCAAGATCGCTCAATTCCGACATCGTTAAGGAGCTCAAATGTCCATTAAATGTACCATGATCGAAGGAAACTCTCTGTACCGTCCGATCAAAATAGTTGATATTACTGCATTAATTGCACCTAGAACTCTATAATTAGACCATCAAACTGAAGTCTAGAGAGAGAGCCTGAGGCATTGAGAAGAAGCTGTAGCTTAGCATCACTATTGCTCGTCGTCGACCACCGCCGACAGCCGAAGACCACCTCCGACCTTCGATGACCACTACCGATCGTCGTAGATCTATGCCAACAGTTATCAACCACCACTAAACACCATTGATCACCACCAACCAGACGTCATCAGTCGACGTTGTAATTTATATTGTAATCTAAAAAATATAGTTACCATTTCCCGTCTGTGAGACAAGGGATTTCTGTAATCATCAATCAATAGTGGATTCCGCAACTCGGCCAGACCCCGTAGTTTTTTCCTTACGAGTTTCCACGTAAGAAATTCTGGAGCTATCATCATTTGTTTATCTTTCATCTATGTGTGTGCTGAACTTTCATGCAATGCTAAGACGATAGTCCATTACTCTACCGCTGCGAATTTTCTAGCACGCTTCAAATACATAGGAATTGTGGGGTATGTCTGTAAATGTTTTTTTTTTTAATGATTTGAATTCATTTGACCAAAACTGAAATTACTTGCAGAAAAATAAAGTCAACGTCCAAATATTCTAAAAGAAGTGTTCGCGATTAGTCTCAAATTTATTAGATCAATTTTTAAATGAGTGCAAAGTATGAATTATTAATATTACATTAATCTTTTAGATCATTGTATCAAATATCTTGTTTGGATGCGAACTTAAATAGAAATAAGCGGAAACCAACCTCCTTTTTGAAACAATTACATGACAATCATGAGGGCAATTGTGTAATTGCACAGTTCTAACTTACGATCCATTTGGCGCGATATCGAAGCAGTCGTTTTCGTTCAAAATATTCGTATCACGTCCGATAGAATGCAGCGCGTTGTGATGCAATAATATTAATTTAAATTTAACTAGGTATTTTTCATATTTAAGACTTTGTTATTTTAAAATATTAATTATTTTATATTTCTCTATTTGTTATAAGAAATTAAAATTACATTAATTTTGAGTGGCAGCATTTAAAATTAAGGCTTAGCAAATGCGGAACGTAAGCTTTTAATGTAGAAGAGAACAAGAAATGTTCATTTAGGGTGCAGCAGAGATAAAGGTGGAGTCATGTGATTGAGCTGAAATAACTGAGGGGCATTTATATGCATCCTACCGGATTTCTATGCATTTACATGGCTAACATTTACTTTACTTTATTACATTTATACCACCTAAATCTCATATAAGTTATCACATCAAAGTTATCATTATTTTAAGCCATTACCTTGCTCCCTTGGAATATAGCATCTAAGCCACATATTATTCGGACAAAATATTTGCAGTAATTTTTATAGCACACCGCTTATGAGAATCATGATCCATAACTTTTATAGGATACCGCTAACAAAATATTTGGCATTAATTTTTAATTTAAATTTTAAATAAAGCATCTATGAAATAAATACGAAAGAGCTTTTGTTCCCAACGGGCATGCGGTTGTACGCATATTATTAATTTCCCATGCATGTGGGCTACGTGATGCTTCTAATTGCATGAGAACATAGTTTAATGAAGAGCCTATGGGTATTTTTCTTTAATGCATGACCCGGTCTGAGCCAGACCACTCCTACGAAATTCAATTTCGATTTTTTTGTAGAGTTATTGAGATTTGTTGTAGTGTTATTTTAATTATATAATGTCCGTTGTGGTGTTATCGTGATTTTTTTTCTAGTGTTATTTAAGTGGTATTGTGATTTTTTTGTGGGTTGCTATTGTTGTGATTTTTTCTGGAGTTATTAAGTTGTTATTGAAATTTATTTTAGTGTTATTTGAGTAATATTGCGGTGTCTATAGTGTTATTGTGATTTTTTATGTTGTTTTTTGTGTGTTATTTTGGTTTTTTTGTGAGCTAGTGTAATTACTATTTTTTGTGGTGTTATTGATGTTTATTGTGGTGTTATTTGGGTGGTATTGTGGTGGTTATGGTGATGTTTTTGAATGATGTTATTTCAGTGTTATTGTAGTGTTATCGTGGTATTATTGTGGTGTTATTAAGTTATTTTTTGTTTTATATGAGTAGCATTGTGGCGACTTTATTGTGTTATTCTCGATTAGTGTTATTATGATGTTATTGTGGATTTTTTGGTGTTATTGGGGTTTTTTGTGGGGTTATTGAGGTTTTTTGATGTTATTACGATTATTTGGTGTTATGACAATTTTTTGTGAAGTTTTTGAAGTGTTATTGAGGTTTATTGTTATGTTATTTGAGTGGTATTGCTTAACTAAGGCGGATTTGATGTTTTTGGGATTATTTTGGAGTTATTGAGGTCATTTGGTATTATTGCAGTTATCTGGTATTATTGCGGTTTTTTTTTGGATTTATTAAGGTTTTATTAAGGTTTATTATGGTGTTATTTATGTGTTATTGCAATGAGGTTTATTATGGTGTTATTTA